GGAAGAGGCTGCTTGCCGCCATTTGCCCTTTTGCTCTGGCTGCTTTGCTCGGCTGCCATTCCCCCCTTGGCTCTTGTTGCTTTGCTATCTTCTGCCTCAGAGCCAACCAAGTATGGAATGAAACCTCCACAAACTGTAAGCTAAATAAACCTCTCCTTCCTTCATTGTGGACGTTGGGTATTTTGTCTCGGCAACGAGAGAAAAGTAACCAAGACACACCCCATCGACATATGGCTCACCTTTGCATGGAGCCCTGTGACGCCGCTGCTCCAGAGGTTCGGCACCCCTGTGGCCGGCCACAGTCCTGTATCTTCCAGCCTCCTTCCCTGCAGAGCCCTGTATGCTGTGAATTGGGATCCTAAGTAACCATTCCACTGAACTGAACAGAAACTCCGGGTTGCACTTTAATTACTGTAGAGGAACACCTGCTCCTCTAGAGGACGTATGACATAACTTCAAATTCGTGAGGAAAACAGAACCTTTTAAAAGTCTTTTTTTAAAAAAGTCTTTTAAAAGAATTAATCCTCCCTTAAGAGATCAAAATGGGGGAAAGTTAAGGCCCACTGTCGGCTTGTTTCGAATCAGGAGCCGAGTTCTGTTTCTGAGCTCTTTCCTCACTGTGGCAACTGCCACGGGGGCTCCGCCGAAGCCGTGGAGGGCGGTGTGTGAGTTGGCTTCTAGCAGGGAGCCAGGCTCCCCTGTGTCTTCAAGCAAGGACTTGGTCCGAGAACCAGAGCGCAGCCGGCGGCCCCCACGGGGCCAGGTGAGAGGACACAGGGTGAGGGAAGAGAAGCTGCCCACGCCCGGCCACCCACTGCGTGTGGGTCCACGGCCCAGAGGCAGCTGCTGTCTTGCAGAGATGCTGCCGGGTAAGGCATGGAGCAAAAGGGTCAGGGCTGAGATTCTAGGGGGCAGAGTGAGCCCGGGGGTGGGGAGGCCACAGAGAGCGCCCCAAGACTCCAGCTCTCCCTACTCTTGAGCTCCTACACGTGAGGAAACTACCAGAGAGCAGGAAGAACCCGCTGGAAGGAGGGGTGCACCATATCCAGGCTCACACAGATACACTGAGAGCTAGGAGAGGAAACTGCCCCTGTCTGCCTCCCTCAAAGCCTCCTCCCACGTATGCCTGCTCCTAGACCTTGGCTGCAACCTGGAACCTAGGAGGGGGCTTTTAAAAGTACACAGGCCTGGAGGGCCGGAGGGCTGCTGCAGCCCTAGCGTTACACGCCCTCGGGGAGTGTCTGCCGCTGACCCAGCACGACTGAGGCCAGCAGCGGACAGGACAGCAGGCCCCGGAGCCCTCAGCTGTCCGGGCAGGAGGACGAACGAGAGCCCAAGTCCAGGGTCGGTAGATGGCAAGGAGGGCGGAGCAAAGAAAAAAACCACCAAACCAAAGGAATACAAAGGCAGAAATGCTTTCTCCCTCTCTCGGGGGCCAGGTCAAATCGAGCACCCCCGCCAGCCTCCCGCTCCTGCTGTTCCTCCAGTGAGTGCCGGCTCCCCGCGTGCCACCTCCCACTCACCCCCCGCGGAGTTAGGGCCAGCGCCTCCATCTCTCCCGCTCTTCCTGCCACGGCCCCTCAGGAGAGCCTGCTGTTCCTCCTCTTGCTGTATGCGTCAGGTATTCCCTTCTCTCACAAACTGAGCCCGCCCATTTGGATACTTGGCTACTATGGAGCAGATAAAATGGGTGATGACTCTCCCCTCTGGATAATAAATGTGTGGTAAAACTGCCCTTAAATGTGAGAATTTCAGCGTGACGGCTGGGGGTGGTGACCCACCTGTCCTCTCCAGTGCCCTAGGAGGCTGAGACTGACCACAAGTTTGACCCCAGCCTGGGCAACTTAATGACTTAGTGACTCAAAATTAAAGAAAAAAAAAAAGGCTGGGGACATAACTCAGTGCAAAGGCCCCACGTATGATCCCCAGTACCATATAGAAAAAAAATAATTTTAGGGTAAATTGATCTAGTATATTTTTGTGTGTCCCCTACAATGGAAACAAATTTAAATCAAATAACATTGGATAACAATGACTTAAAAATTTACAAATCACTATTACTATTTATTTTGGTCACAACCCTACTTATAGGTGTTGAAATATTCAGCAAGGACACAAAAAATACCTCTAGTTAATTAACCTTATATAAATGGGCTTAAAAATACTTTTTCTGTAAATTCTAAAGTCTTGTGAGTTCAAAGCAATTTATTTTCTTAGTGTAAATATTAAGCATTATGCTATTTCCCTGAGGTCATTTTTAGAGGACAAAATCCAAGGTCAAAACACAAAATCATTTACTGTGGTGTGCATGCATATGTGCCTGAGTGTGCGTGTGCATAAGTGTGCATGTGCATGCACGTATGCATGTGCATGAGTGTGTGTGTGTGTGTGCGCGCCTGTGTGAGTGTGTGTGTGTATGTTTCAGGCCAATAGGTCATACCCTGAAAAATTGGGCCCAAACTGTTAAAACACTAAGTGGTTTGAAATGCGCTATTTTTAAAAAGTTTTTCTGGTATGGATTCTTCTTCATTTTGAATCTATATAAAGAATTTGTGAACATACACTTCTGACTATGTTAGCATATACAAATTTTATGGTAATGCTGACTCTTAAAACTCCCAATATAATACTGAATACTGAAAAAATGTACAGGAATCCATAAGGGCCCCAGATAGATTAAGCTGGGCGTGGTGGCGCACAACTGTAATCCCAGCACTCCGGAGGCTGAGGCAGGAGGATCACTGTGAGTTTGAGGCCCGCCTGGGCTACATAGTGAGTTCAAGGGCAGCCTGAACTGCATAGTGAGACCCTATCTCAAAAAGGCAAAAAAAAAAAAAAAAAAGAAAGAAAGAAACTTAAGCTGTCACCCCTATACATATAAACCCCCAAATCTCAATACCCACTACCTGTTTGGACTCCCAAAATTGTCAGCAAGAGCAACAGATCTGTTCTGAGTACAAATGTGGCATAATCTTACCTTAGCTATTAGATTCATTTAACTATATTTAAAATAATCAATGCATTTTAATGGACAAATCCAAATACAAAAGCAGGAAGTGACCATGCACTGATGGGACCCCAGCAGGCTCCCGTGACCACAACGACCACCTTCTTCCATTCCATTGTTAAATAAGGAAGGAGACGCTTTCTGTTCATAAAACCAGAAAATGAAGGTAACTGGACAACATGTTTTTTTAAAGTAATGAGTAACTCATACTACTCAGAAAAGAAAAACGCAACCTCAGGCTGATACAATTAGCGAAAGTAGTCATGAGCCCACTGGGATTATGAGAATACTTACTGCAGATAAAAGGCAAAGGCAGAAAAGATCTCTTAGCCATGTGAGAGGAACCCAATACCCAAGTGATACCTTCGCAAACAGAACCTACATGTGTATTCTGTACTAAGCTGGGGTTCAACTGAGGTTACTGACTGAACAAAAATGACATCTAGAAATTTCCCTCATGGAAACACATTATGGGACAAATCTGGTTTAAAAAATACTATTAGCAGTGAAATCACACATAAACCCTGGCTGCAGAGAAGTCTCTAAGTCATGGTCCATCCACACAGCTCAGAGGATCCAAACATGACCAGACCAGGCTGAAGGGCGGCGTCCCAGCCCCTCCCAGCAGAAGGCTTCTTTTCAGCCTGGTCCAACTGGTTGTGCCGAAGGGACTCTGGAGCTGGGAACCATCACACAGTGTCTCACTTTGTTTAGTGACAACAAAGGGGTCAAAGATTGAGAAAGAGACGCAGGGCACACCCTCCCCAAGTACAACCCAGCCGCACAAGGAGAGATATTCACAACTGTCTGGGGGAAGGACTGATTCTAGGTTGGAACTTCAAATCAGAAAACACCTTCAGTTAGAAAGGAAACAAAAGCCTATGAAGATAAATATTTTCCAACTCTTGCAATTATATATTTCTCTTCTTTGATTTCCTACAGAAAGAGCAGATTTAAACACTATTGCATAAAAACAAATACACAGAGTTGCTTTCTTGTAGTGATGACAGCTTGAAACGTTAGGGACAATTATGTTGTACTTTTCTATAAGACAAGAACGTTTAAGCTAGCTGTCTGCACATTTTACAGCCATTAACAGAACACGAAAAACAGCAAGGTAGCACCTGCTTGGCAATTACTAATGGTCTCAATGAAAGTAGTCACCGGTTTTGTTTTGCTTTGTTTGTGGGTTTTGTTTTGTTTGATGCCCAAAAGGATAACATAGGAAATTTTAAGTAAAAGGGAGATTTTTAAATAGCCCATGTTCTCAGGGCAGATAAAAAAATACAAAGATTTGAATAACAATTAGAAGAAAGTTATATAAGCATTTCTTCCATGCAATATGATGGATATGAATTATTTTGGGTTATGTCACAACTTCATTAAACATAATGGTCTCATTTTTTTTCTTTTCTTTTTTTCCTTCAGTGCTGGAGATCAGACTCAGGGCTGTGTGCATGCTGGGCAAGCACTTTACCCTGAGCCACATCCCCAGACCCTGGCATCTGTATGTGCCATATAGTCAAGGTCTATCTTTGTCAGTAAGTAACTTGAGAATAAGTGAAGGCAGGAAAAACATGATCCATTCTATCCATGGAAACCCTCTGTCATAAATGCCTAAGGTAAGAAGACCCTTCAAGTCTATGGGGCGATACAGTTGACTACGCTGGTGCTCCTACAGCTGAAAACACTTCCCGTAAGGGTCTCTCAGCACATGGCCAGGTGGCCTACAGGTCGCTTCTGAGCAGTTTGAGAAAGGAGACGGCTAACACTGGTTTGTTCGCTTCCTTGTCTTAGACAATCCAGCTAGGCTCTCGCTTTCTTTCCTTTTGCCTCTACATTCAGGAGGAACAGCAACAGCCAACCCCATTCTCACCCCAACCCTACCCTCCACACAAATTCTAACACCCTTTATTACCCTAAAATTGTTGCAAACTATAATAACATAAAGCTCCACTGCTGAGGGGCACCAATAGTACATGCATTTTCTTACCTGATGTGGCCAATCAATTCAATAAGCTTGTGACTGAAAAAATACGCCGTCAGCTCCGACACGTGGCTCAGGACTGAGCAGACCCCAAACAGGGTTGTGGTTCCATTCAGATCTTCCAAATGCCAGTACAGGAAGGTGAACACGAAGCCATATCCAAAACCCATAAACCAAGCCACGAACAACACGGAGCCGTACTGCACACTGCACAACAGTTTGATTAAGTCCCAAAAGTTGAAGGTCTGTGAGTGGCTTGCGGCGGACGGCGTCTCCTCAGAGGACTCTGTGGAGGGGTTCCTTTCCACCGGAGGGATCTCCACCTCTTTTCCTTTGTTATCATCGTTCTTGAAGTGGTTGTAGCGAAACCGGAACTGTGTAGCCACGATCAAGGCCATGGTCATGAGAACGCCAAAGACGATAAAGACGATCTGGTAGTTCCGGTACTCTGGGGGCTTACACCCCTTTCCGTCGATAAGCACTTCTATGTGGGTGTAGTCGATGCCGATGCCCACAGACAGCATGGCCAGGCCCCAGCCCAGGGACCCCCACATGCGCTGCAGTCCATAGCGGTCTCTGTGTTTCCCCAGATACTGGAGCGTCACTGTGTCTACAATCGTGACAGAAGAGGCACTGAAAAATTCCCCTATTATGACAACAACCAAGATCACCAAGAATATAGCTTCCACTTCTTGCTGGTCATAAACAAGAGTGACGTGAGCAGCAGGTAATGGCTTGGTGGTGGTGGCAACTGCAGTGGTTGTCTCCCGGGTTACACTTCCTGTGGGGACAGGGGTCACTGTGCTTGTGTTCAAGACCAAGTCCGTAACATGGTCAGTCACTCCACCAGGCTGGGGCTGCAGGCTGGATTCAGTGGTCCTGGCTGAAGGCATGGCGAAGATATCTGTCTCTGAGGTATCAGGCCCCGTTTTTAAGGTCGGTGGCCAATCAGAAGTAGGCAGGTTCCTTTTCTCACGCATTCTTGGTGACGTGCTAAGGAACGAGGGAGCAGAGGAATTCGCTGGCAGGATGGTGGACAGGTGACTTGCATTGGTGGGGCGAGTAGTTGGGGCGATCTTTGGTACACATCTCAAGGTAGCAGGTTTGACAAATCCGATGCCCAGGTTGAATAAAACCCAACACAAAAGAGAAAAGAGGAGCACAATTTTGCCTTTTTTGAAGCGATCTGCAACTACCCCCCAAAAAGGGGCACTGCAGAATTCAATGAAGTACCGGATACCTACAAGAAGTCCGCTCTGGCTTGGTGACATTCCCAGCTGTTTGTAATACACAGGCAGAAGTGGGTAAAGAGAGCCATACGCAGAGTAAAAGAAAAAATAAAAAACTTTGGAAATTAGAAGATCATTGTTTATTTTCACACAATGCTTCTCTATCCAGTCTATTTCCTCCTCAGGAATAGCAGATGTTTCTGTGGAGGAGGGTGTCTCGTTTGAAGGTGGTTCCGGTTCCCTGGAAATACCATTGAAGGGATCAGCAAGCACGTATTTTCTCTTCTGTTCCTCTTCATCATCAGTCAAGATAGCAACTTTATCATCTGCCGCCATGGTTACCACCACCATCAGAAAGCTTAGGGCTGTTCTTCAAAATTTTGATCACTGATCTGTAAAGCAAAATTTAAAAGATGGCTTAGCAATGAAAATGACAGGACACAGAATTTCACCTTGCAGGAAGATAAGGAATTTCAAATCACAGCTAAAATAATAACCGGTGAGCAAAGTCTCATCACTGCTCACTGACAATTCTGGGTGTACAGGTAAAGAAAAATACCTTAAAATTAAATACTTCTTGTGGCCACCGATTTATTACATCTTTCAATGGCTTTATAGGTTTATAGTTCAAATTCATTCTCAACCTTTTCATAGGTTCCCAGAGAAAATGTAAAAATGATAGGAACTATATCTAAACCAAATATAAGGAGTTGAAAATAAACACTATTTATAACTTCTTGGTTTTACAAATCCACTGCATTATGAAGTAAACATTCTTTAGACATTAAAGGTAAGCAAAAACATTCAGCTTCTAAAGAAAAACAGAAAGAAGTACTTAGCTACCATGACAAACAGTGAGAAAAAGGGAATTGAGAGCACTTTTGCAACTGACGTTGGCTACCAGAGCCAAAGGACACCTCTGGTAAAGAAATAGCTGCCCATTACTTCCTTTATATATATGATGCCAGGTGTACTTTGATGGATTGCAGTTTAAGAAAACACTGGAAAAATAAAGAGATCACATTTATTGAGAGCTGGCATTATGGGTTGTATCTACATGTTCCTCCAAAGCCTCATGTGGTCATAGGTGGAGCTTTTTGGAGGTGGCTAAATCTAGGCTGTGCAAATGTGAATTAAGAGTGTGATACTGAGATTAAGAGTGGGTATGACTGGATTAGTCCACTAAGTGGTTTATCATAGTTTTGAGTGTGAGTAATGGGAACACAAACACTGGGTATGGGTAGCACCACCCAACAGGTTTGTAGCCTGAGTGGGGTAAAAGGACAAGGGAGGCCTGTTGCTGCTGCTTGCTGCCTTCTGCCTGCCCTGCTTTGCCATGAACTGTTTCTCTCTGTGATGCCCCTCTGCCATACCACCCTGCCTGGGAGCCAGTTGACGATGGACTGAACCCTCTACTAACTGAGATAAACCTTTCCTCCTTGGACTTGTAGGTGCTGGGTATTTTTTTCCTAGCAACAAGAAAAGTAAGTAAGAAAGCAAGGGATGTTGGTAAGTATAAAGTGCTTATCGATTATGTTTGAGATGCTGGCTCCAGCACCACAAATAAATAAGCATGGAAAATTCTGTCTCCTCATTTTTTAAAAAAAATCTGTTGAGCATTAACACTGTACCAGGTAACATTTAAAAGTCTTTACTTGTATTCACATTATCGCACAGTGCCTATCATTATGTTCATTCACACATGAGGAAAATGAGGCCTAGAGAATTTAACTAGTAAACAGTAGAGTCAGGATTTGAACCCTGTTATTATAGCTTCAGCACACATGCTCTAATACAGTGTATAAAACTGCCAAAGCCACATTTTAGATGATAAAATGCTAGTAACCCTTTTCAAGGGACAAGGAGCTTCATATGAAAGCTTAGTAATATATCAGTGGTATAAATTTACAGAAATTGTGTCACATTCCATCAGAGTCCCCCACTTGTTACATATAAGTGAGCAAAGAGTCAAAAGGTGACAACTGCATCAAAGTTTGTGCTGCGTAGTCCCAGGGCACATATTCTGCTGTTACGAGGTATATGTAGTGCGTACTTGTTAATTCCTTCTACCTTCACTACCTGAGAGAAATACCGACTTCACTCAGCACCCCTTGCCATGACCTTGCTTTTTCTTCTCCCAAAATGAATTAACATTCAGAAAATCTTCCAGAACTGCGCATGTTTTAATCTCTACAATGTCCCTAGGTGGGCATCAGAAACACAATTTAATGAGGCCTGTGTAACAAGTCAATTTATTTTTTATCCTCCAAAGCAGGATGCCATTTAGCTACTAGCTTTGAAAATATTTGTGTATTTTAGATTTTTTTAGGGTAAAAGAATTTGTAAATTGAGGTAACATTCATTTAACGTAACTTAAATGAATAATCAAATTGAAAATGGACAATTCCGTGGCATTTGGCATATTCCCAAGGTTCAATGGCCACCACTTCTATCTATCTGCTTTCCTTATCTTGAACTTCTTAATTGTGAAAGGAAAATTTCTTACTCCCACCCCCACAAAATTTGCAGGAAAAAAAAAGAAGTGTTTCTCGTGCTTAGCCATGCAAGGCTTTCTTCAATGCTCTCTAGTTTGTTCTCCATTGGTGCCTTCAGCTACCCAGCTCAGGAGCTCCGATTCTATTCCACCACCTGAAAAGAACAAGTTCCCCTTCGAACTTATTTCCTAACTTAGTTTAATTCTTGCACCAAACACTGAAAGAAATGTTTGTTGTGCTTACCATATGTATAGTTACAGGACTCTGCTGGGGGAACAGTGTCAATTAAACATGTGTAGCTTGGCTCCTTTCCTACACCCCACCAAAATGACAGCCCCCCTCCCCTCTAGTCATAATTCAAGCTAGGAAGCATTCAAGGGCACATCATAGCAACAAAATAAAGATATTTTGCACATGCAGTTTCTCAAACAATCTCTCCTTTCCCCCTTGCTCAGCCTGTGTTCTGCCATACCACGGGGATAATGAAGAGAGAGTAAGGCACAGAATGTAGGAAATAAGAGCTCTAACCAGGAGACAGGAAAGTAAATATGGGAATGATGAAGGTCAGCATCCCCAGGATGACAGCTGTACATCAGACCCAAAGGGCAACCAGTGCAGCAGGTCAGAGGGGAGGGCTCCTGGAGAGACCCTCTCAGCTAAGTCACACTGGGTAGAACACCAGCACATCCAAGGAGGCACCAAGAGAAAACTGAGACAATTGGTGAAGAGTTGGGGCATGAATTAGTGATAAGTACAGATAATGTTAAGTAAAAAGAAAATGCCAAGAAAACAAAATGTTGCATAGGGAAAGAAAAATAATCACAGCTTACTACATTTCCCCTATGATTACAACCTTACTAATGCAATTGAGAGCAAACTGAAATCACCGTACAACAACCCTGGAAGGTCAGCGCGATGAGAAGGCTGGGTAGGCAGAGGCAGAAAGGGAGTTAATCCTGTACCTTCCACAGTGGGCAGACAACAGACATTCAAAGGTCACGAAACAAGAAAAGCAAAACAATCGTGGGTAGGGAGAAAAAGAACAGTTACCTCTGGTAGGAGAAATAAGAAAGAGGACACAGAAGTCTCAAGATTTTTTTCAACAAGCCTTGAGAGCTGGTTCATTTCTTTAAAACTTTGTACATACACAGCTCTCTTTAAAAAAATAAAAATCCATGAACTGTACACTTCAAAAAGCTGCAGAAAGTATACTGAAGGTTTTCATCACAGAGACGTGATAAGTGTTTGGGGCAATAAGTATGTTTAATCTGATTTAAATATTGCACAGTGTACATGTGTATTGAAACATCACATTACCTCACTGATTTATACAATTTCTATGTTGTTGTGGATTAGTTAAAATAAATTTAATTTGAAAAAGAAAAAGAAAAAAGAAATGTACAATCATCAGAGCTTTGGCTTTGTGAAAGACAAGAATTTCAGGCAGACATTTCTACTCTTTGTGGCTAAAAATATTTTTCAGAATTATACAGAATGACAACTGACGGCATGAATTCTAATTGGAGCCTTGTGGAGGCCTTTACCTAATTAACCATCATAGATCAAGTGCTGAGACCTTCCCAAGTAGGTCAGAGAAGGACAGAAAGTCCTCTTGAAATAATTTCATGAACTGTCCAAGCGATGATGAACACCTGGTGCCCAAATGCTAATCGGAAGCCCCTGATTATCTTACAGGAGGATGTTGATTTAAATCCTGACGCCGATGTTTTACCAAACCACTCTTTCCTGTGCTGAGTTGAATCAATTATTCAAATGATTTTTGATTATCATAAGGTCCTACAAGGTTTCTCTTATGTAAATCCAGATGTTAGGTCCTCTCAACGTATCAACAAATGCAAAGCAGGTAAGGAAGCGACTTCCAATGTAACCTTCAGTTCTTTATACAAAAGTAACATTCAGTAACTTTTTTTATGAATGGCAAACCTAAAATTACGAACAAAACTTTTCAGTTCAAATTCAGGACAGTAAAGTTCAGATTCAGTACCTTCAGGTCATGTTTAGATTTTGAGGAAAAGGAATCAAACCATGCAGAAATCACAAACAGTAATGAAATACGTAACTACAGTCATCCGTGTCATCGCAGGATTAAGGACAAAAGACAAACCACACTTCTGTTTTAATAAAATTATGTTTCAAAGTAGTGAGCACATCATTGGCGGAATTATATACTGTAGAATACAACATGTTACAGGAACGGATAGAGGAAAAGAAAGGAGAAATAAAAAATATTTATATGCTGAGTGAGGTACTTAATGTTTACAAAGTGAGGGGACATCTTGTTGACAAAGAGTTTGGTATGGGCTGGATGTTTCGTCTCTGGTCTCCAAATTCAGAAGCTGAACCCCTAATCTCCAATGTGACAGTGCTGGAGACAGGCACTTGGGTTTAGCAGAGTCAGAGGGTGAGACAGAAAAATGTCTCCTCATGTGCGCTTGCTGAGGAAAAGCCATCTCAGGGCACAGTGGGCAGCTACAAGCCAGCATGGAAGCCCTCGCCAGGAACCAAGGTCATCGCATCTCGGTCTTAGACGGCCCAGTCTGCACAGTTCTGAGAAATACTCTACCTTGCTTCAGTCTGCCACCGCCCAACCTTGTATTAACATTCTGTTTTGTTACAGCTGCTCATGTAGATCAACACAAGGTCACCCATTGCCAACCCTTTCAGCTAATATCTTGTTTCAGACTTCAGAGTCTTAAAGCTTTCTTTTTTTAAAGAAAGTTTTAAAAAGAGTGAGAAGGCATTTCAAATCATACACAGCGATCTATGTGCTGGGAAATCTCTATTGCAGGCTTGTTGTTCATCCAATAGGAAGGGCTTTTGTTTATTTTTTGGAAAACCAGAAAAGTCTTCTCACCTACCACACTCTAGTGATAGCA